TTTCTTACACCTACGCTCACTATTCCTATCGGCTGACTAACGCTCGCCGGCGATGATTCAAAAGCAATTCCATCCTCACCCTGGCGAGAGGCGTTCTGTGACGAGAAGCCGATTGACTGTAAAACCAAGATCTGCAATGAGGGGGACTGCCAATTCTGCGACGACGCTGTATTAATCCCGCCCTGCCTGGCCACAGTGGTGCTCGGGGCGATTCATGTGCAGCGGAGATCTCTGCTTACCTGGTTTTGCACAACGTTTCGGAGTGTGTAAAAGTTGTGTGCTTGTTGTTGCCATTTTTTTGCTTGTAGATATGTGTGTCCGCGTGTTTATTATTTTTGGTTGTTTTTTCTATGGTTATGGGAAAGTTTGGCCTTACTGTTTTCTTAGGATATAGCGGTTGTAGTTAGCAGGTTTTCTTGTTTTCGGTGGTCACGGAGAAATGGATGACGCGGATCTCGGGGACGTCCCACAGGAAGTGGTGCAGCAGGAAGTGAAGGAGCGCCCGGTACGAGTGATTAAGGTCCAGCGTCACGATGGAACAAAGGCGTTTTTGAGCTCTGTGATAGAAATGGCACAGGTGGTGCTTGACAATCTGGACCCAGACGCCTGCTACAAAGATATTGCCATTGGGCTGAAGAACAAACTGGAAGAGACAGAGAAGGGCACCTGGCATGTCATCATAGGCTCCCACTTTGGGGCAAATGTGACAAATGATGCCGAGACGCTCGTGAATGTCAAGATCGATGAGAAGCACATCCTGGTGTTCCGTTCCGGTCCACCGGAGCGTCCACTGGAGCTGACGGATGAGCAACAGTAGACGCACATGAGGAGAGTGAGGGGGGCAGAGGAGTAAGTGCTGCTGGACGGATGCGTAGATAGTCAATGTGTCTGTGCTGGCGGGGTGTGATGAATGGATGGACTTGCTGCGGCTTCTGCTGCGATTTTGACGATGACGATGTATGCATTATTAATGTATTTATTCTCACACAAAGGTGGATAGAGCGGGGAACACTTTTCCCTGCTCTTCGTCCTTTCTCTTTTCCTTCCTGTTGGGAGGCTGGCTGGAGGTGGAGGAAGGAAAAACGGGAGGGGGTTCGTCGACGCCTTCGCCCCGCATTTGCGGTTCGGGTGGTGTAGACTTTTTATTGATTATGCCGCCATTCCTGTGTTACTTTTTTCTTGCCAGCTGATTGTTGACTTTTTCCTGCTTTGTTTGCTGCGATACTTGTCTTTGTCTGTAATGACCTGTTCCTCCTCCTCCTTTTTTTCTTTCTTTACCTTAGTTTCCGCCTGGGGGTTTAGTTTGCCTTCGCACAAGCACACGCGCACATCTTATTGCAAGCGTTCACGCGTGTTTTTTCTCGTCGGCTTGTTGACTCCCCCGTGTTTTTTTTGTTACGATTTTTGGCGCTGGGACCAGTATGGCTGAACAAAACCAACAGCAGCGGCAGCCGCGGCCGCAGCAGGAATCGCAGAAGAAGAAGAAGCTCAAGTCCTTCGGGAAAAATCGTCGCGAGGTAAGAAAGGGCGCGGCGTGCGACGAGAACGGGGATTGGCTGGGAGGGGTGGCCCACCAGGACGCATTGCGGCAGATGCCCTGCCCCGCGCTGGAGCGGTACTACCGCGACCTGCAACACATCCGCAGCCCGGGGGAGTGGGAGTTCGAGTTGTCACTCTTTCGGCAGCCCCTCCCGACGACGGTTTGGATAAACGACACGGACCCACTGGCGGGCGAGGTGCGGCGCTACTTCGAGTCGCTCGATCGCTCGCTTGTAGAGCCCATTTCGTGGTACCCGCTTCCCGGCATGGCGTGGCGGATTCTTGCGGGCAGGACGGAGTTTCGTAAGCGGCCGGAGATGCAAGGGCTACGGCGGTTTATGATTCAACAGACGGCCTTAGGGACCATTTCGCGGCAGGAGGAGGTTTCAATGCTGCCGCCCTTTCTCCTGGACATCCAGCCGACCGACAAGTGCCTTGACATG